GCACATGCCCACCGACAGCGGAGACTCGGTTCCGCGATGAGCTGGGGCAGCTGGTCGGGCTGAAATGCTGCTGCAGGCGAACCTGCCCACGGCCGCCCCGGCGCCCCTCCCCAAGGATGACTGGGTCTGAGTCCGTGTCCCGGCTGCTCCTGCAGACCCAGAGTGTCCCGGGGAAGGGTTACGGGCTACTCTTTTCTTTCCCAGGGCGCGGCCCACGGAGGGCGCGCAATAAAGAGACTTTGAAGAATAAATGATCCACATGTAGACAGTCAAATGCTGATGGTGAAAACAAAGACCCACCCACTCACCCCCAACAGGACCCGTCCTCGGAGGCACTGGAGCCCGGGGAGCTAGAAGCTCCGGGGGCCTACGTTCCCCCGCCGCCACGGTGGGCACACCGTCCATCCGCGGAAGGCACTGGAACCCGGGGGAGCTCTGGTCTGAGGGGTGCGCCCCTGCCCCTCACCGCCCGCGGAAGGCGCCGGGCCCCGGGCCCCCGGGCTCACGTACTCTGGCGCGGGTTGAGGCTGCACGGGTCGCTGGGCTGCCTCCGCAGGTCCTCGCAGTCTCCGCGCAGCTTCCAGGAGTTCCCGAAGTGCTCGGCCAGCGGCTCCGCCAGGCCCGCGGGCGTCAGGAAGTCGTCCCGCCGGTTGCCGTTGTAATTCCCGCACAGGCCGCAGGTCCTCCCCGCGTAGACTGGGGACAGCTGCCGGAGGACAGACCAGCTGGGAGCAGCTGCCGCCAAAGCAGCCACAGCTCTCTGTCGCTAATGAGATGGCTTTCCTCAAAAACGCTCCCCAGGTGAAAAATAAATACGAATTTAATAAACCGCAGCTAAGCCCTGAGCTACAGAAGGGAATAAAAAAGGGAAAAGGGAAGCGCAGTATCTGCTCACCACCAGCTCCACCCCCGGCTCTGAAACCATTAGTCAGAGACCCGCTGTGTAGGAAGGCATTTAGAGATCATCCTGTCACTTAAAGAGAGCTACTGCGACCCAGACAGGGACAGCGACTTGCCTGAGGTCACACAGCTGGGACCAGCAGCTGGGGCCAGCAGCTGGGCGGGGCTCTGCCGCCCTGCTTGTCAGAGACACCCAAGCCCGTGGACCCTGATGCCCACGGCAGCGCAGTGAAAAGCCAGCGGACCTTTAGTGCCCATTTATCCATCGCCCGCATGGGGGAAGCAGAACATACATCGCTCTCAGAACATGCATCGGATGGCAAAGAAGAACACCTTCCTAACTTCTTGGTTTTGACTCAGCCACTGAGCATCATTGAGGAAAAAAGGCCATAAGCTGAGGACCCCAGGGGTTGTGATCATGGCCGGCGGAGGTGGTGGTCAGTGAGGACTTGGGGACAGCCTGCGGGGGTGGCCAGGAGGGGTGCTGGCCACCAGCATGGGGCCTGTTCTCCAGGCTTCAAGCCCAAGGTGCACATTCAGGGAGGACTTGGGGAGCTGAGCCTGTACCCCAACAAGGTACAACCGGGGGCATCTGCCCGATCTCTGTTGGGAGGGCCCTGGTTCAAATCCAGGCAGGGGCGGGGTCCCCATGTCCCTGACTCCTGCCCTACTGATCGTCGCAGCTGTGTGCCCTCCTGTGTTCTGACCCCTGCATGCTGTGGGCCTGGCCCCGGGCGTCATCTCTAGCAACCCCTTCCAGCCTCCGGCTCTGATTCACAAGATGCAGGATGAATAATCTCGGGGAGGTTCGGGACCCATATAAAACGTACCCAGATAAATATCATTAACAGGGAAGAACACAGAGTCACGTTCCCTTGTTTTGCTTTAAAACATCAGGTGCTGGCACGTCCATCGGGGACCCGGCCCTTCCCTGGCCTCCCACGGAAAACGTCAGTCCCCCTGACCTGGCCCTTCCGGCCCCTCCTCCACTGCACCCATCTCCCCAGTTTATCACTTCTCACATAGGATACAGTTTCCTTATTGGTTTAGTTTATCATCCAACTCCCCACCCATTAGAATTTAAACTGAACAAAGCCAGGATTCTGGTCTGTTCTGTTTCACTGTTGTCACCTCAGCCTCAAGTTCAGGGAGTGAACGGGTCACCAACGTCTGGACAAGGTCGTGAGCGAGAGAGGCGCTCCTCCGGAAGCCGCTGAAACGCCACGCCAACGCCCAACACCTCGCCCTGGGAGCCCCTGGCGCGCCTCACCCGGCTGCCTTTGGGGGACAGCTGTGTCCACCCTGCTGCTCCCCGGTGGCCTGCCTCCAGCCAGCGTCCTCCGCCCAGCAGTCCCCACAAACCCCAGGGTCAGCAGCCCCCTGCACAAGCACCTCCTTTCCTCCTCTGACCCAAATACATAGGGCTTTCCACAGGCCAGGAGTCGTCCGCCCCATCCTGAATCTTGAACAACGAAGGCTTCTTATTAGACCGAACCCCACCCGGAGCTAAGTCTGCACCCCATCCCCACAGAAACAAGTCCTCTTCTCTCCTCAGAGGAGACAAAGGACCGAGGAGCCTGCGGGGAAGACGAGATGTTCAGGAAGGACCTGAGGACGGTGGGGAGAGCCCCGCAGATCAAGAGTGCCCTTCGGTGACGTAGGAGGTGCCCAAGAAAGTGGCTGACGGGGCAGCCCCCTGAAGACCGGGGTGCAGGTGACCCGAGATCTGCTCTCACTCTGTAACCGAGTGACCCTGAGGCCTGGAACAAGTCACTTTCCTGCCCCAGACATGAAAGATCTTTATTTCCAACTTAACTACGAGAGGGATTGGCAAAGATCTCCAAGAGCTTCCTGCTCTATGGTCTGTGGTTGCAGGTTTAAGTTTTATAAAAGAAAAAAAAAGGCGTTGATTTGGAACTCTCTCAGGGACATTAAGATAAGAGCAAGAACATGACATGATGAGAGAGGAGGAAATGAGGATGTCTTAGGGCCACCCCAACGCCCATCCCAGGATTGTGCCGAGGACCCGGTGAAAGATGGGGCCTGGGGACTCTTCAGGGGTCCTAGCATATCTAGAGCAGGGGTCCTCAAAGTGTGGTCTTGGGACCCATGGGGGGTGGCCCCTGAGCTCCTTTCAAGGGGTCGACGCGGCCAAAAGTATTTTCATAATCACAGGAAGCCGCTACTTGGCTTTCTCCCTCTCGTGCTCCGCAGTGTGCAGTGGAGCTTCCCGGAGCCTGCACGACACGTAACGCTGCAGAAGACTGAGTGCCGCGGATGAGACTCCAGCTGTCTTCTAGTCAACCAGCCATCAAAGCAACTTGCAGACACGTAAAACAATGGTATGCTTCTCAACACTGATTTTTGTTTTGGAAAACAGATTCTTTTTAAAGTGTATAGTAATGTGTAGTAGCTTTATTATTGTTAACTTGCCAGTGAATTCATACGTATGATTTTAAATGTCCCTGATTTAATTTCTAACCTGGTAAACATCAATAGATACAAACTTCATAAAGGATCCCGGGGTCCTCAGTAAATTTTAAGATTGTGAAAGCATCTGAAGACCAAAACGGGAGCAGCACTGGGCTGGCGGCAGTGACGCCGCCTGGAGAGCTAGCCCAGCTCTGCCCGCAGCGGGGTGTGCGGCCCTGGGCCCAGCTCCCAGCCCTCGAGCGCCTTGGTTGCTTCATTTAGGAAACAGCAGTGACAATACCTTCTAGGGAAATTTCAGAGGGAAGAACACACAGGGAAGCCCTGTGAATGTATAGATTCCTATCCACCTGCAACTCTGGGACCACAGGGAGCGGGGGAGTGGTCCCGAGGCTGCAGGGGCCCCAGGACAACCCTTCCCAGGCCATGCGGACACAACGCAGGGTCTTGGCTGTGAGTCCCACAGCAGCTCCCGGGGACACCCCCTGATCCCAGGCCTTGCTGCAGCCAGGAGCCTGGGCAGCAAACCTGCTGCCTCCCCAGCCCTGCAGGAGTGCCCCGAGTCTGGGGGCCCTTGAGGTACCAGAGCCCAGAGGTGAGAACTCCCGGGGTGAATGAGCGGCGTCCAGACAGCAAACACCAGCCTCTCACACACAAGAGAGGCCTGTCCCTGGCCTTGGGGAGAAAGGAATTCTCCTCCCACCCCGAGCTCTCCCACCAGAGCACAACGGGGACTCTGTGAGGTCTGGCTGCGGGGGGGCCGTGCGCGGGAGGGCACCTACCTTCACCAGCAGCCTCCCGCGGCCGTCCCAGTCTATCTGCAGGTCCTCCCCATAGCCGAGGTGCACAGAGGCCGTCACTGTGCGCTGAATGCGGAGGCTACCTGGAACCAAGCGAGGACAGGATTCAGGCTAAGATGGGGAGAGAGCAGGGGGTGGCAGGCAGGTGGATCTTAGGGAGAGATGGGGTATCTCACAAAGGACTGTAGAATGAAAGCAGTGAGTTAGGGGGCATCTGGGATGTACATGAGGCTTAAGGGGGGGTGTCTCAGAGGAAAGGTGCTCAGAGTGGGTGTAGTGCAAATAAATAAGGCTTCTCAGGAAGGTGCCTCTGTAGTCCCTCCGTAACCTGCCATTCCCTATACTGCCACCAGGGGGCAGCAGAGGCTCCTGCGTCCTTGGCTTAGGCAGGTGCCCTGAGCCTGGATCTGTCTTCAGGTGAATCTCTAACGCCCTGGGCCCCTCTGCTGTTGCACATGTGTCCAGGCTGAGTTACTCAGTCCTTGCATCTGAGCAAAGCTGACACAAGGTAGGAGGCATACCTCTTGCCCTAGGGAGAGACACACTGCGTTAAACACACACGGACACACTGTGTGCCCACTGGCCCGAGCTCACCCACAGAGTGCAATGCCAGGATAACAGGCCATGGGGCGTTCATGGTCAGGAAGAAGAAGAGGGGAGGGGTCTGGGAAGTACTTTGAGAGTGAAAGTTGAGATTATCCCATGCAAAATGGCACTGCTACCTGCTAAAGTCACTGAAAAGGTTTCCCCACAGGTCACAGGGTCACCTGGCTTTGCCCATGACGTCCTCGGGTCTGACCCATCACCAGCCACCTTGCCCCCAGCCAGTGTCCTCTGCTTATCCTCCTCTTCCAGGAAGCTTTCCTTTCTTGCAGGATGCAGGCCAGGATACCCAGTCTGCCCTCCAAAGATAGCTCTCCTTCCCATTTTCACAGAAGAGCCAGGCAGAGAGCATGGCTGAAGGGTGGGGACACTGAGGATGAGCTGGGAACTGGGCAGGGGGACCGTGGGGGAGGAGGGAGCCCACCTTGCAGGAGGGGGATCTGGACGTCCTGGCCGTCCACGGCGACTCCTCCCCCATGCTTCAGCTTCACAAGGCTGTTGTGCGGGCTGGACAGGCGTACAGTGACAGAGCGAGTGCAGACAGAGTCGGGGTCATCGGCACACTGCCAAGAGTGGCCCCAGAGTGATGTCATTGCACCCCCGCCAGCCCAGCAGCCCCACCCAGTTCCCTTCACTCGGGGAAAGACCCCAACCCAGACGGCAGGCCTTCTCACACGGGACCACTCCCTTCTCACAGAATGATCTCTGGGAAGGGCCCTGGCCCAGGCCTCAGCCCTGCC